GAATTGGCTTACTGAAGAGCTCAGTGACATTCAACATGGCACCGTTATAGGATGCCACCTTTCCGACAAGTCAGTTAGTCAAATTTCTGCCCTGCTAGAGCTGCCCCTGTCAACTGTAAATACTGTTATTATGAAGTGTAAACTTCTAGGAGCAACAACAGCTCAGCCGCGAAGTGGTAGGCCACACAAGCTAACAGAATGGGACAGCCGAGTGCTGAAGCGCATAGCGCGTAAAAATCGTCTGTACTCGGTTGTAACACTTACTACCGAGTTCCAAACTGTCTCTGGAAGCAACGTCAGCACAAGAACAGTTTGCCAGGAGCTTCATGAAATGGGTTTCCATGGCCTAGCAGCCGCACACAAGCCTAAGATCACCATGTGCAATGCTGGAGTGGTGTAAAGCTCGCCGCCATTGGACTCTGGAGCAATGGAAACGCGCTCTCTGGAGTGATGAATCACGCTTCACCATCTGGCAGTCCGACGGACGAATCTGGGTTTGGCAGGTGCCAGGAGAACGCTACCTGCCCGAATGCATAGTGCCAACTGTAAAGTTTGGTGGAGGAGGAATAATGGCCTGGGGCTGTTTTTCATGGTTCGGGCTAGGCCCCTTAGTTCCGGTGAAGGCAAATATAAACGCTACAGCATACAATGACATTCTAGACGATTCTGTGCTTCCAACTTTGTGGCAATATTTTGGGGAAGGCCCATTCCTGTTTCAGCATGACAATGCCCCTGTGCACAAAGCGAGGTCCATACAGAAATGATTTGTCGAGATCGGTGGGGAAGAACTTGACTGGCCTGCACAGAGGCCTGACCTCAACCCCATCGAACACCTTTGGGATGAATTGGAACGCCGACTGCGAGCCAGGCCTAATCGCCCAACATCAATGCCCGACCTCACTAATGCTCTTGTTGTTGAATGGAAGCAAGTCCCCGCAGCAATGTTCCAACATCTAGTGGAAAGCCTTCCCAGAAGAGTGGAGGCTGTTATAGCAGCAAATGGGGGACCAACTCCATATTAATGCCGATCATTTTGGAATGAGATGTTCGATGAGCAGGTGTCCACATACTTTTGGTCATGTAGTGTATATGAGGATTAGAAAATTACATCTAACCTTTGATCTTAATAACAATTCAGTTATACACCACAGTAGTTGTTCTCTAAAGAGGAGAAATGTTGTCAGAAATGTTTTATAACTACCACTGGAAGACAAATGCACAGAGTCACTCACCACCTTCCGGAGACACTTGAAACCCCACCTCTTTAAGGAATACCTGGGATAGGATAAAGTAATCCTTCTACCCCCCTTACCCCACCCCACCACCCCCCCAAAAAAAATAATAATTGTAAAGTGGTTGTCCCACTGGCTATCATAAGGTGAATGCACCAATTTGTAAGTCGCTCTGGATAAGAGCGTCTGCTAAATGACGAAAATGTAAATGTAAATGTATCTTTGACAGGTTTTTCTGACATCTGAGACCATTTTCCAATCAAATCAAATTTGATTGGTCGCAAACACATATTTATCATGCTTGTGATATCATACACGGAGAAAGCCTAATAAAACAGTTAATTTATGGTCATAATGAAAGGTGTAATGCCTTACCTTCCCTGTTGCGTGTGTTCGTAGCAGGAGTGTGTGGTTGTAGCTGTTGCGTGTGTTCGTAGCAGGAGTGTGTGGTCGTAGCTGTTGCTTGTGTTCGTAGCTGTTGCGTGTTCGTAGCAGGAGTGTGTGGTCGTAGCTGTTCCGTGTGTTCATAGCAGGAGTGGTTGGCTACTCGTCACTCAGAGGCATGAGAGTGTATAAAAGTCAAAGCTGGCCTGTACTGATAAAGCACCCTGACACTCACGTATGGTCAACACACACACCACTGATTGGACACAGGAAGAACATATGTATTTAATGTCAGCAGCATTTTACTCCTTAACGCTGCCCATAGAGGTTCCTATCAGTGAAGCCTTATTTAAGCTTCAGGGGGGTGTATGGATTCAGTTAATACTAACACTACTGGCCCCTATTGATACATCTCTGCAAACTATCCACACATCAGTAGTATTTTACCATACTGTATGTGACAGACCACGGTGCACTTGCTTAGCAGCTAAGCTTCCTACTTCTCTGGGTACAACCCAGGGTAAACTGTCCCTACAACGGCTTGTAGGTTCACCGTCTACAGTAACTATACTATGGCTGCAGCAAGGCTCTCATCATTCAGCTCCAAACAGTCAGTTGGGTTAGTGATGGATCTGACTCTGTGGGCCAGAGGGGAAGTGAGGTCCAAGGAGATAAGTTGTGACTCAGCACTTTATTCAGCTACAGTAGCCAGACTTCCCCCACACAGGCCTGCCTGCAAGGGGCCTACAGGATGACTCAGGGGCTGTGTCTCAAATGGTAACCCTATTCCCTATACAGTGCCCTTACTGCCCTAGGGCTCTGGTCAAAAGTAGCACAATATATTATAAGGGATAGGGAGTCATTTGAGAACCAGCCAAGACCATCCTTGCATTAATATTAGTGACAGAAAGATCGTACTAGAAACCATGTAGTGTTTTTTTTTTTTTCAGCTGAAGAAATAATGGAGAAACACTGATAAGAATCAAGACTGTTTATTGGTCATCATAACCTGGTCAGTAGTTCCACCACGTCCTCTGAGCACTAGCACTATAAAAAGCCACAATCACCATCCTGTATGACACAGCCAGAAGGCAGCATACACTTCACACACACACACACACACACACACACACACACACACACACACACACACACACACACACACACACACACACACACACACACACACACACACACACACACACACACACACACACACACACACACACACACACACACACACACACACACACACACACACACACACACACACACACACACACACACAAATATATGGATATGCCATATTGGACAGAAGCATATACAGTAGCTGCTCTTAAAAGTTGGCCTATTTTTACCATCCCATAGTGGTTGGTACTGAGGCATAGGTCATAATGCATTTCAGAACAAACACATTGCATCATATAAGAGAGAGGAAATCGAGCTGTAAGCAGATATGAGTAACTTCGGCATGCTTGCACATGCACCACTTACTGTTCTGTGCCTACCCTTTCATTAGCTATGTACTGTATATCAGAGGGGCTCAATTCACTGTAAGGTAAGCAACTGGCGCTGGAGACATTTTCAATGTGATTCACAAGCGCCAAAACATGATTATTAAAAAAATAAAATGAGAGAAAGGTCTTCCAAACTTCTGAACAAGTGCCATGTAGAGACCAGCAGTAAAAAGGTAATACATTACATATATGTTCTGATTCTTAGGTAGCCTATTGTTCATTAGTCTGCAGCTAGAACAAACATACAAGAAATGCCACTAAGAAAGGGAAAACGGATTCTCACTGTTTCAAAGCAGAACAAGGTTCTCGTAATAGAGGGTGATACATATGGAGACACACAGACAGACACACACTCACAGACACACAAACAAGCAGACACACAGACACACACACTCACAGACACACAAACATGCACACACAGACTCACAGACACGCAGACACACACACTCACATGCGCAAACATCAACAAGGATTCAAACTTTAGCAACAGTATTATCGCTGTTTTACAAAACATCTTGTAATTCGTCTTCATAACCTGACAGAATATCCCAAAAGTATTCACCATATTTATAAATTAGCTACATTTAACAGGTCATTTAAATTACATGTTTATATTACGTCATATGTTATTAGGACCGTCAATAATATTAATGGGGTTTAAATGGACACAAGATACAGTAAAAAATACCACATTTCTCCTTGCAGGACAGACCAAATATGCAAGCACCAAAAAACAAATGTCCAATGAATATACAGCTACTGTTTTCCCCCCAACACAACGCTGATTATATCCAGGGTTGAAAGTAAGTCGGTCCTGTATGGAGTACCGACAAAATAAATAGTGGGGGTACACTGTACCGGTAAAACATGAGCCTATCGCAATAATTAAAACATACTGATTCTAAGAAAACTGTAGGCTTGTACACTATTATTTATCATTACCGCATGTTAGACGCATGAAAAATGAGTGAACAGAAAAAAATTGGACTACGCTCCAAAATGCAGTGTGGTTTGACAATAACACTGAACATTTGCCAAGGCAGAGATAAGTGGCCGAGACCGAGACGCACGTGGACAGCAGTGGACGCATCAATTCAGGTTACAAGACTTGTGTAGGCCTAATGAATGACCATCACAGAATGTCATTCATTGCACTTTTTGGTGTTTTGTAACTGATGTCTCTTAGCATTTATGAAATGGCAGGTGCACAGTGCACGGATGCGGGAATTCTTTTAGAGTAGAATAACGTTCGCAGGAAGCCTAAAGTAGCCTTTTGGAGTAATTGTTTGACAATCAGATGAAAACATTATGACTGGTTGTGTTTATGATACATTAAAAGGTAGGCTAATACATTTTCAAAGTTAAAAGTGATCTTTACTATGAGGTCCACAGAGATCCTATTAAATTAAAAGGGATTCTATATGTAATTCTATGATTAGGCTCATAAAAAAATACACATAGGAGGTCCCCATACCTTTAAGAAATTAAATATACTATCACCCCTGATTATATTAGGTAACATGTTGGTATGTAAGTAACATGTCTGAAGTTGTGGTTGTAGTTCAGTGGTCAGCAGATGGGGCTGAAGCCTGAGGCTGCTGGGGAGGGGCTCACTGGTCCTTCCCCTCATGGATCTGCTGCTGCATCTTATTCAGCATCTCCTGCATCCTCGCCAACTGCAGAGAGAGAGAGAGAAAGAAGGGGGGGGGGGGATAGAGAGAGAGAGAGTGTGCGAGAAAGACACAGAGAGACAGAGAAAGTGAGAGAGTACGAGTGGTAATGCCATTTTTGTCTTTTCTAGCATCTCTCTATAAACTGGAGACCATCCTGTATGGGTGATGTTACCCATAATGATGTATCAGTTTACCTCTTCATCTTTCATCTTGATGAGTCTATCTGTCTCCATGTCTGGGGTGGATAGGGGCAGGGTGGGGATCGGGCTTTCCATGCGGTTGTCCTGTGTCAGTTTACTGAGGGGAAAACACATAAGGAACATGAATACAGACTCACACAAGGGCAATGTTAATAAACAAAACTTCAGATAAAAATCAGCTATAAACCAAGCACCTCATACTTTCTGTCTTGCACTCTCTCTGACCTCTACAGCAGGGTTTCCCAAACTCGGTCCTGGGGCCCCCCCTGGATGCACGTTCTGGTTTGTGCACCCAGGGGGGACCCCGGGACCGAGTTTGGGAAACCCTGCTCTACGGTATACACACAAACGCATGCACACACATGCACATACCTGGTCATGTCCTGTATACACTGGGCTCTGTAGTTTTCATAGTGCACGTCACAGGTCACGTCTTTGAGGTCGTGCATGTGGGAGCGAATCAACATGTTCCTCAGCTTCACAAAGTCACAGTGAGACTGGTTCTCCACTGAAACACAGACAGACTGGGTCATTTTACACTGACATGATTTGCTTAGATAAAACATTCCTCTCTGTTGTATCCATCAGCAGTGATGCACTGTATCCGATTAGGAATAGGGGGTTTTCTGAGCAAGAAAACTGAGCCTAATCATAATGCATTGGTTGAGATATACGGGTAGATACAGGTTGTTTTTCATAGTTTGAGTTTCAGTCATTTTTCCTTCAAAAATGTTTATATGTGAGGAAAAGCATGTTTCACCATGCAACTTAAAAAGTCAAAGCCCTGACTAATATTGTTCTGTGTCCTCCATTGTTGTCACAAACCTTCCACAATGCCCCATGGGTAGAGCCTCCCTCTCACTTTCTGGCCCCTGGCCTCAACCACTGTGTTACTACCAATCACTGCAAACGGACAGCACTCCTACACACACACACACACACACACACACACACACACACACACACACAGGTTAGGATTTGGCATGATAGATTGACATGTTAGAAGGTATGGTTGAGTTTAAATCTATTCTTAATGTTCGGTCTCCAGTTGTGTGTCTCACCTTCAGTTCTTTGTCCAGTTGTTTGAACTCCTCGTCCTCATCAGAGTCACACTCTGGGAACTGGTACACCTTAATGCCAAACCTCTCAATCTCCTCACGGACCTACACGCACACGCAAACACACACACCGCACATTGTGCTGGGTGAGCAACTTCCTAAGGTTCCTGCATCCAATCTTACAATCATAATGTGACATCTGCTTCAGCAGTTTTAGTCTGTCTGCTGTGTTGAACTCACCCTGTCTTTGACTTTATTGATCTCATTGGGAGTGAGACAGTCAGCCTTGGCAATGAGAGGAACCACATTCACCTTCTCATGGAGAGCCTTCATAAACTCAACATCTACTGGACGCAGTCTGCAAGGGAGAGGAGACACCCCGCCTGGTCAGTGTATGTGCGTGCATACATGTATGTGTGTGAGAGTTTTAATGGGGGATAAGTGCATTCTGACTGAGGTGGACAGTAATAACAGTGTTTGCTGGTTGAGTTGTATTGGTGCTGTTTACATTTACATTTTAGTCATTTAGCAGACGCTCTTATCCAGAGCGACTTACAGTTAGTGAATACATATTTTTTTTTATACCTGCCCCCGTGGGAATCGAACCCACAACCCTGGCGTTGCAAATGCCATGCACTATCAACTGAGCTACATCCCTGCCGGCCATTCCCTCCCCTACCCTGGACGACTCTGGGCCAATTGTGCGCCGCCCATGAGTCTCCCGGTCGCGGCCGGCGGCGACAGAGCCTGGATTCGAACCAGGATCTCTAGTGGCACAGTTAGCACTGCGATGCAGTGCCTTAGACCACTGCCCCACTCAGGATATCCTCCGGTCATCAAACTCAGGATGTGTTATTACTATCTACTATCTTATGGCTATACCTGTCATTACACTACCACATTCCTGTGTTTGTGTGTGTGTGTTTGTGTTACCCGTGTCCGAACGGAGGTATGAAGTAGAGGCAGCAGTGGACTCTGTTGTCCTGGATATTCTTCCTGTTCAGTCCACTCTCATCTCTGAAGTACTGCTCAAACTGCTGGTCGATGTAGTCTGTGATCGGCTTCCAGCTACACACACACACACACACACACACACACACACACACACACAAACACACACACACGCCACAATCAGTCAAGGCATACAGGAACTATAAAAATAGAGTTGCACACTATATATAAGCTCCCAGTAATTTATCATCCTGAAGAAGGCACTGCGATGCTGAAACGTTGGTGGTTTATAGAGTGTGAATCTCTTTATTTATTTTTATAGCCTACAGTTTACTCGCCGTTAGTCAGCACCTCTACTAACATTTTTGGGTGTGCGCCAGCTCATGCTTTTCACAAGGTTTACAGGATCGACATACAAGATTAATTGCCGCTATCATTCCAATTTTAAGTCAATCTTCTAACCAATGTTTCACAACTCCTAGAGTCCTAGAGATCCCCCAACAGCACACATTTCTTTGTTGTAGCCCCGGACAAGCACAACTGATTCAACTTGTCAACTAATCCTCAAATCCTCAATGAGTTGTATCAGGTGAGTTCGTCTGGGGCTACAATATAAATGTTTACTGTTTGGGGTACTTGAGGAGTTGGGAAACACTGTTCTAACCCATAAAGAAGCCTCAGAGAGATTTAGCTCACCATTCACTGTTGTTAACAGCGTCTCCAAACCCTGGTGTGTCTACAATGGTCAGTTTGAGCTTCACTCCTTTCTCCTCAATGTCCACTGTATGCTTAATGATCTCCACTGTCTGGTTGATACGCTCTGAGAGAGGGAGGGAGAGAGGGAGGGATTGATGGAGAAAGGGAAGATAACCTTTGATGAGATGGCATTTTAAATGGCTCTAGTTTACATTTTAATGTGTGTTTGTGTTACTCACCCTCAGCGTTGAGTAGTTTCCTGTCCTTGTACAGGTCTGTGAGGAACAGGCTGTTGACCAGAGTAGATTTACCCATACCAGACTCCCCTGTAACATGATATACATATTACATACACTGAACAAAAATTTAGTAGAGTTATAGTTCATATAAGGAAATCAGTCAACTGAAATAAATGTATTAGGCCATAATCTATGAATTTCAAGAGAAGTACAGATCAGGGTTGGGTTATAAAAAAATATCTGAAACTTTGAACATCCCACGAAGCACCATAAAATCCATTATTAAAAAAATGGAAAGAATATGGCACCACAACAAACCTGCCAAGAGAGGGCCGCCCACCAAAACTCACAGACCAGGCAAGGAGGGCATTAATCAGAGAGGCAACAAAGAGACCAAAGTTAACCCTGAAGGAGCTGCAAAGCTCGAAAGCGGAGATTGGAGTATCTGTCCATAGGACCACTTTAAGCCGTACACTCCACAGACCTGGGCTTTACGGAAGAGTGGCCAGAAAAAAGCCATTGCTTAAAGAAAACAATAAGCAAACACGTTTGGTGTTCGCCAAAAGGCATGTGGGAGACTCCCCAAACATGGAAGGAGGTACTCTGGTCAGATGAGACTAAAATTGAGCTTTTTGGCCATCAAGGAAAACGCTATGTCTTGTGCAAACCCAACACCTCTCATCACCCAGAGAACACCATCCCCACAGTAAAGCATGGTGGTGGCAGCATCATGCTGTGGGGATGTTTTTAATCGGCAGGGACTGGGAAACTGGTCAGAATTGAAGGAATGATGGATGGTGCTAAATACAGGGAAATTCTTGAGGGAAACCTGTTTCAGTCTTCCAGAGATTTGAGACTGGGACGGAGGTTCACCTTCCAGCAGGACAATGACCCTAAGCATACTGCTAAAGGAACACTTGAGTGGTTTAGGGGGAAACATTTAAATGTCTTGGAATGGCCTAGTCAAAGCCCAGACCTCAATCCAATTGAGAATCTGTGGTATGACTTAAAGATTTCTGTACACCAGCGGAACCCCTCCAACTTGAAGGAGCTGGAGCAGTTTTGCCTTGAAGAATGGGCAAAAATCCCAGTGGCTAGATGTGCCAAGCTTATAGAGACATACACCAAGAGACTTGCAGCTGTAATTGCTGCAAAAGGTGGCTCTACAAAGTATTGACTTTGGGGGGGTGAATAGTTATGCATGTTTCTTTGTCTTATTTCTTGTTTGTTTCACAAGAAGAAATATTTTGCATCATGTTGTTTAAATCAAATGATACAAACCCCCCAAAAGCAATTTAAATTCCAGGTTGTAAGGCAACAAAATAGGAAAAATGCCAAGGCACTTTATATGTGCCCTCTGTTCCCCATTGTCCTTGTCGATTATTGTCCCATGTTATTACAGTTTACACACCGAGTATTGTGCACTTGTTATTACGGGTCTCGTCCCATGTATTATTTAGAGGTTTACACCTCGCTCATTTGGTTGGGTTACATCCCTGCGTTATATATATAAGTGTTTGTTTTGGGCTTCGTCCCCGTCGTTTTCCATGACGTACCTTATGTTGGGTAGAGTAATAAAAAACCCTATTACGCATTCCTGCACCTGTCTTCTATCAGTTTACAACGTGACAGATTTGATCAGGCTGTTGTTGATTGTGGCCTATGACATGTTGTCCCACTTTTCTTCAATGGCTGTGCAAAGTTGCTGGATATTGGCGGGAACTGGAACACGCTGTCGTACCCATCGATCCAGAGCACCCCAAACATGCTCAATGGGTGACATATCTGGTGAGTATGCAGGCCATGGATGAACTGGGACATTTTCAGCTTTCAGGAATTGTGTACAGATTTGTATTTGTATTTATTATGGATCCCCATTAGCTGCTGCCAAGGCAGTGAAGAGACCTCTGGTGGCATGTCTTGTGGGGTATACATGGGTGTCCGAGCTGTGTGCCAGTAGTTCAAACAGACAGCTCGGTGCATTCAACATGTCAATACCTCTCACAAATACAAGTAGTGATGAAGTCAATCTCTCCTCCACTTTGAGCCAGGAGAGATTGACATGCATATTATTAATGTTAGCTCTCTGTGTACATCCAAGGGCCAGCCGTGCTGCCCTGTTCTGAGTCAATTGGAATTTTCCTAAGTCCCTCTTTGTGGCACCTGACCACACGACTGAACAGTAGTCCAGGTGCGACAAAACTGTAGGACCTGCCTTGTTGATAGTGCTGTTAAGAATGCAGAACAGCGCTTTATTATGGACAGACTTCTCCCCATCCTAGCTACTGTTGTATCAATATGTTTTGACCATGACAGTTTACAATCCAGGGTTACTCCAAGCAGTTTAGTCTCCTCAACATGCTCAATTTCCACATTATTCATTACAAGATTTAGTTGAGGTTTAGGGTTTAGTGAATGATTTGTCCCAAATACAATGCTTTTAGTTTTTTTTAAATATTTAGGACTAACTTATTCCTTGCCACCCATTCTGAAACTAACTGCAGCTCTTTGTTAAGTGTTGCTGTCATTTCAGTCGCTGTGGTAGCTGATGTGTATAGTGTTGAGTCATCTGCATACATAGACACACTGGCTTTACTCAAAGCCAGTGGCATGTCGTTAGTAAAGATTTAAAAAAGTAAAAAGGGCCTAGACAGCTGCCCTGGGGAATTCCTGATTCTACCTGGATTTTGTTGGAGAGGCTTCCATTAAAGAACACCCTCTGTGTTCTGTTAGACAGGTAACTCTTTATCCACAATATAGCAGGGGGTGTAAAGCCATAACACATACGTTTTTCCAGCAACAGACTATGATCAATAATGTAAAAAGCCGCACTGAAGTCCTTGCGACATGGGGCCGTGCATTATCATGCTGAAACATGAGTTGAGGGCGGCAGATGAATGGGCCTCAGCATCTTGTCATGGTATCTCTGTGCATTCAAATTGCCATCAATAAAATGCAATTGTGTCCGTAGCTTATGCCTGCCCATACCATAACCCCACTGCCACCACGGGGGCACTCTGTTTACAACATCTGCCATCTGCCCGGTACAGTTCTAACCGGGATTCATCCGTGAAGAGCACACTTCTCCAGCATGCCAGTGGCCATCGAAGGTGAGCATTTGCCCACTGAAGTCGATCACAACATCGAACCGCAGTCAGGTCAAGACCTTGGTGAGGACAACAAGCATGCGGATGAGCTTCCCTGAGACGCTTTCTGACAGTTTGTGCAGAAATTCTTCGGTTGTGCTACCCACAGTTTCATCAGCTGTCCAGGTGGCAGGTCTCAGACGATCCCGCAGGTGAAGAAGCCGGATGTGGAGGTCCTGGGCTGGCGTGGTTACACGTGGTCTGCGGTTGTGAGGCCGGTTGGACGTACTGCCAAATTCTCGAAAACAACGTTGGAGGTGGCTTATGGAAGAGAAATTAACATTGAATGATCTGGCAACAGCTCTGGTCGACATTCCTGCAGTCAGCATGCCAATTGCACACTCCCTCAAACCTTGAGACATCTGTGGCATTGTGTTGTTTGACAAAACTGCACATTTTAGAGTGGCCTTTTGTCCCCAGCATAACGTGCACCTGTGTAATGATCATGCTGTTTAATCAGCTTCTTGATATGCCACACCTGTCAGGTGGATGGATTATCTTGGCAAAGGAGAAACACTCACTAACAGGGATGTAAACAAATGTGTGCTCAAAATGTGAGAGAAATAAGATTTTTGTGCGTATTGAAACATTTCTGGGATCTTTAATTCTGGCTCATCAAACATGGACCAACACTTTATATTTTTGTTCAGTATAACATGTTTCTAAACAGTCACCGACACACACAGACACACACATGGCCATCAACACTAACACAGAGTCAACATTCATGAACACACATGAAATACTTAATATCACTGGGTTGTTTTACTTTTACTACAGTAAATGCTACAAAAAATACTTTCACTGACCGGCGACCATGAGGGTGAAGTCAAATCCCTTTTTCACTGACTTCCTGTGCACCTGGTTAGGGAGGGTGGCAAAACCCACATACTGCTTCTCCTGAGAGAGAGCGAGACAGAAAGAGAGACAGAGAGCGAGACAGAGAGACAGAGAGAAAGAGTGAGGGGGAGAGAGACAGAGCAAGAAAGAGACAGAGAGAGGGTGAGATAGAGAGAGAGAGACTCAGTCACACTCACACAATAGGTAAACGAACATATGATATCCTCAGTCAGATATCGATTCAAAGCAACATTCCTAAGAGCTAAATAAATTAGAAAAAATTGTCATTTAAATTAAAATACAGCTGAAGTTCAAACTCAATTCAACCCACTCTGCTAGAATTACAGTATGGACAAATCCCTTGACAATAGGAGGGGGGAAACGGGGAAATGCATTCCATTTAGTCTCTAAGACCTGGCGCTGCTCTTTTTCCACACACACACACACACACACACACACACACACACACACACACACACACACACACACACACACACACACACACACACACACACACACACACACACACACACACACACACACACACACACACACAAACGCACATTCATACACAAACACACAAACAGACACACACGCATACATAAAAAACACACACAAACACAGTGAGAGAAAGAGAGAGAAAAGTATGACTGATCTATGACTTTTCCACTACACAATGGCTGTCTATCTGGCAGCTCTCCTCATCCCCTTCTGACACCATTCACACATCATCCAAAGCTTCTCCTTACTCAGACCCTACAGTACTGAAGACCCCATACCCCACCCACACACACACAAACACACTATCAGCCTTGCCAGTCTACCAAGGCCAGAGTCTGGCAGCCAACAGAGGGTGACAACGGCTGTATTGACCAGACCTGAATGGCCCTTTTAAAACCCCTAACCAACACAAACACACGCCAAAGAAATACTCAGTCAGGGTCTATTATAAGTTGTCATAACCTGTCATATGCATTCCCGACAGCTCCTGGGGCAAGGCTTACAAACCCACACACACGCACACGCATACACACAGTCACAGCATACATAGACATGGAAGAGAGCTAGTGCTGAAGTCACTCACACACACATAATTGGGAAATCTATTTCAATTAGTAATCATACAAACATCTGACTTCTAGGGTGTGTGTGGGAACAAATATGCCACAGTCAGAACAACCAAACTACCCATAAATCTGTCATGAACTCATCAGGACATGACTTAAGAAAACAGTATGTTCTATATTCCATACTAATATGACATGTTAGAGAGAAATATGGTGTTTCTATGAGAGTTTGCTGACCTGTGCTTGTGTGTGTTAACTGTCAATTTCTCTTTGACATTGACCCCCTCTCCCTTTTCTTTTCTTTCCTCTCCTCCACTTTCTCTCTCCTCTCCTCTGTCTCCCCCTCTCACTCCCTATCCTCTCTCGCCTGTCATGTTCCAGTTCTTTACCTTCTGCCTGGCGGTTCTGACTCGAGGGCACAGCAAGCGTTCCACTAGTTTCTCCTGCAGCATGATAGCATCCATACCAAGCCAACACGACACCAACAGGGAAAAGGTTTTCCAAAGGACAAAAACAGAGCAACCTCCTCACAACGCTTCTCTTATGCACCCCTCTACTCCTCTCTACCTCTCTGTCAGTCCACACTTTTCTCAATACACACACCTCTTTCCTGTTCTCCCTCACTATGTCTTTGTTCCTCCTACTCTCCTCCTCTCCCTTTCTTTCTCCTCTTTCTCGCTCTCCTCTGTCCTGCAGCCCTCTACTGCTCCCTGTTCAGACAGGTAGGGAGGAATTCTGATAGAGAGAGAGAAGGAGAGAGCGAGAGCTAGGGGGGTAGACAGGAGGAAATAAAATGGTAGGACGGAGTGAGAGAGGTAGTAAGAGGTATCAATTTAGGGGAGGAAGCGAGGGATGGAGTAGAGAGAGGGACGGAGGGGGAAAGTGAAGGAATAAAATACATTCATTCACCCTGTAGTCCCTCCCCCTTTTCCACCGTTAGAAAAATAAAGCACTGACTGCTACAGTAATTACCTATAGCAGCCCAGAGACAGAGCGAGAGAGAGAAACCGACAGACAAGAGATGGCTAAATAATATAGCCCATATCTGACCATAATAGTGATCAGTTGTCAAAGAACAACACAGTGTCCTATAGCAGAGACACAAACCCTTTGTGTAGTTCAAGTGTGGACTTGTAAAAGTCAGTAACCTGTCACACAGAGCTTAGTGAAGCTAAAATGACCTCTTAACCTAGCCCTGGGATGAGGATAGCCAGAGATGTGTGTCTCAATGGCTGAATGAAGAGCCTAGCCAACCTCTAGACTGGACATCAGCCATACAACAAAAGGGCATGGCTGTGGAAATTACACTAAAATAATCAAAGGAGACGTTCTCTCATTAAATTAAATCAAATGAAAGTTTATTGGTTGCGTAAACAGTTTAGCAGGTGTTATAGCAGTGCAGCAAAATGCTTATGTTGCTTGCTCCTAAGAACGCAGTCAAATTTTAAAAGAATACAATAAATCAAGAATGGCGAGACGAATCCTGGATGTTCAACCCAAAAATCAATGTAGCTGTATCAAAATGCAAACTATACATACACTACCGTTCAAAGGTTTGGGGTCACTTAGAAATTTCCTTGTTTTCGAAAGAAAAGCAATTTTCTGTCCATTAAAATAACATCAAATTGATCAGAAATACAGTGTAGACATTGTTAATGTTGTAAATGGCTATTGTAGCTGGAAACGGCTGATTTTTTTTATGGAATATCTACATAGGCGTACAGAGGTCCATTATCAGCAACCATCAGTCCTGTGTTCCAATGGCACGTTGTGTTTGCTAATCCAAGTTTATCATTTTAAAAGGCTAATTGATCATTAGAAAACCCTTTTGCAATTATGTTAGCACAGCTGAAAACTGTTGTACTGATTAAAGAAGCAATAAAACTGGCCTTCTTGAGACTAGTTGAGTATCTGGAGCATCAGCAATTGTGGGTTCGATTACAGGCTCAAAATGGCCAGAAACAAATAACTTTCTTCTGAAACTCGTCAGTCTATTCTTGTTCTGAGAAATGAAGGCTATTCCATGCGAGAAATTGCCAAGAAACTGAAGATCTCGTACAACGCTGTGTACTACTCCCTTCACAGAACACCGCAAACTGGCTCTAACCAGAATAGAAAGAGGAGTGGGAGGCCCCGGTGCACAACTGAGCAAGAGGACAAATACATTAGAGTGTCTAGTTTGAGAAACAGGCGCCTCACAGGTCCTCAACTGGCAGCTTCATTAAATAGTACCCGCAAAACACCAGTCTCAACGTCAACAGTGAAGAGGCGACTCCGGGATGCTGACCTTCTAGGCAGAGTTGCAAAGAAAAAGCCATATCTCAGACTGGGCAATAAAAAGAAAAGATTAAGATGGGCAGTCTGAGATATGGCTTTTTCTTTGCAACTCTGCCTAGAAGGTCAGCATCCCGGAGTCGCCTCTTCACTGTTGACGTTGAGACTGGTGTTTTGCGGGTACTATTTAATGAAGCTGCCAGTTGAGGACCTGTGAGGCGTCTGTTTCTCAAACTAGACACTAATGACACTAACTCTCATAGTTTCTGGCCATTTTGCTGATGCTCCAGATACTCAACTAGTCTCAAGAAGGCCAGTTTTATTGCTTCTTTAATCAGCACAACAGTTTTCAGCTGTGCTAACATAATTGCAAAAGGGTTTTCTAATGATCAATTAGCCTTTTAAAATGATAAACTTGGATTAGCAAACACAACGTGCCATTGGAACACAGGACTGATGGTTGCTGATAATGGGCCTCTGTACACCTATGTAGATATTCCATTAAAAATCAGCCGTTTCCAGCTCCAATAGCCATTTACAACATTAACAATGTCTACACTGTATTTCTGATCAATTTTATGTTATTTTAATGGACAAAAAACAAAAGGACATTTCTAAGTGACCCCAAACTTTTGAACGGTAGTGTATGTACACCGGGGGAATTTACACAAGATAAACTCATGTAGATTTAATATAGTGTGAGCTACAGTATGTCGAGAATCCAATATATAAATAAATATGCGGTGTGTATAAACAGTGTAACTAAAATACAATGTACAATTTATAAATATTTTAATAAGCTATGTCGGGGATACAGTATTTAAATACACAGTGTGAAATGGAAAGTGACCAGTGGTTCAATGTCTCTATAACATGGGACAGCAGCGTTGGCTATGAGTGTGAGGGAGTGTGTGTGTGTGATAGCATGTGTGTGTGTTTTGTGTGAGTGAGTGTGCATCACCTGGTAGACGGCTAGTGATGGCTGTTCAACAGTCTGATGCCTGGTAACAAAAGCAGTTTTTTAGTCTCCCTGACGAAGGCCATGCAGCCGAAATGCGTCAGAGTTTTAAAACTTTGTTTCCATTGAACATGCCATACAAATAAAGGCATTTCAATTAATTATATGAAGAGTGCCTTGGTCCTCCTTTCTTTTTGATGACCAGTTTTTTAGTCTCTCGGTCTTGGCTTTGATGCACCTGTACTGTCTCTGTCTGTCGGACGGTAACCGAGTGAACTGTCCGTGGCTCTGGTGACTGAGGTCCTTGATGATCTTCTTGGCCTTCTTGACACCGGGTGCTGTATGCAGCCCGACAGAATGCTCTCAATGGTGCATCTGTAGAAATTCGTGAGAGTCTTAGGGGCTATGCCGAATTTCTTCAGCCACCTGAGGTTGTAGAGGCACTGTTGCGCCTTCTTCACCATGATGTCGGTGTGGTGAGACCATTTCAGGTCCTCAGTGATGTTTACATCGAGGAACTTGAAGATTTTGACCTTATACACTGCGGTAAGCTCCATTGTTTGGTTGACATTGAGGGAGAGGTTATTTTCCTAGCACCACTCCACCAGGGCTCTAACCTCCTCTCTGTAGGCTGTCTCGTCGTTGTTGTTAATCAGGCCTACCACTGTTGTCATCAGTAAACTTGATGATTGAGTTGGAGTCGTGCATGGCCACCAGTCATGGGTGAACAGGGAGTACAGAAGGGGGCTGAGCACACACCCCTGTGGGGCCCCCGTGTTGAGGATCAGCGTGGAGGAGGTGTTGTTGCTGACCCTCACCACCTGGGGTTGGCCCGTCAGGAAATCTAGGATCCAGTTGCATAGAGAGGAGTTCAGACCAAAGGCCCTGAGCTTAAGGACAAGCTTGGAGGGCACTATGGTGTTAAAAGCTGAGTTGCAGTCTATGAACAGCATTCTCACATAGATTTTCCTCTTGTCCAGGTGGGATAGGGCGGTGTGTAGTGCAATGGCGATTGCGTCGTCTGTGGATCTGTTGGCGCAGTATGCAAATTGTAGTGGGTTAAGGGTGTCGAGCATGGTGTCGGTAATACGGTCCTTGACTATCCTTTCAAGGCACTACGTTGAAAATGTCCGTAAACACTCCAGCTAGCTGGTCTGCGCATGCTCTGGGGACGCAGCTTGTGATGCCATCTGGGCCGGCAGCCTTACGAGGGTTAACACGCTTGACGGTCCTACTCACGTCGGCTACACAGATCAGGAGCCCGCAGTCCTCATGAGCAGCGGGGGCACATGTCGGCTGCTCTGTGTTGCTTTCCTCGAAGCAGGCGAAAAAAGGTGTTTAGAATGTCTGGGAGTGAGGCATCAGTGTCCGCGACGTGACTGGTTTTCCCTTTATAATCCGTATTGTCTTAAGTCCCTGCGACATACGTCTCATGTCTGAGCCGTTGAATTGCGACTCTGTCCCTGTATTGTCTTTTTGCCTCTTTGATTTTCTTTCAGCGGTCATAGGTGGTCTGTTTATACTCGTCCATGTTTCCAGACACTCTACAGTGGTTAAATGTGGTGGTTTGCACTATCAGTTTTGCACGAATGCTGCCATCTATCCACAGTTTTTGGTTTGGGTATGTTTTAATCAGCACTGTAGGAACAACATCCTCTATCCACTTCCTGATGAACCCAGAGAGAAACTCAGTATATTCGTTGATGTTATTCCCAGAGGTGGCCCGGAACATATCCCAGTCCACGTGATCAAAACAGTCCTGCAGCATGGATTCCGATTGGTCAGACCAGCGTTGAATAGACCTTAACACAGGTGCTTCCTGTTTTAACTTCTGCCTATAGGCGGGGAGGAGCAGAATGGAGATGTGGTCTGATTTGTCAAAGGAGGTCTTTGTATCCCTCTCTGAATGGAGAATAACAATGATCCAATGTATATTTCCCGCAAGTGAGGCAAAAGATGTGTCATTCGAATTTCGGGAGAATTTTCCTTAAATGTCCTTTGTTAATGTCCCTGGCTACAAGAAATACGGCCTCGGGATATGCTGTTTCCAATTTGTTCAATGTCCCGTGTAATTCCTCGCGGTGTTGGCTTGTCGGGGGATGTACACAGCCGTGATACAAACAGCTGTTAATTATCTCTGGAGATAATGGGGTCTGCATTTGATAGCGAGGTATTCCAGGTCAGGGGAACAGAAACTCTTAAGGGTTTGTACATTCCTACAATCACACCATGAGTTGTTGATCATAAAACATACTCCTAGGCCTTTGTTTTCACCGCAATGCTCTTAGAAACGTGTGTAGTGTTAACAGAGTGGTGCCAAAGGCCCCATGCACTCCACACACTGTGAAACAGTACAGGGCGTGGTGGACAATTGTTGCCAGATGTGGGCCCATGGAGTGTGTGTGTGTGTGTGTCTGGGTTCAGTGGTGATGACTCAGCTAAGCTACCACTGGAGGACAGACAAAGGATTCAAGACAACTGGAGCTCAGTAAGCAATGATACCCCAGACAGAGTGGGTAACATCTACAG